CAAGAGACTATAAAGGCTTGGTCAGCACAAACATACTTCACTTGTGATCATCTGGGAAAGGTCACATTAGCTGAAGGTGTGAAGTTGACTTAACAAATGTATCCACAAGGGTGGTCATTTTTACTGTCTACCATGGAAACCAGTTAATGTTTACTTTTCATTTTCATGGGTGATGCTAAAGAAAATATTGTCAGCCCCTTATTATCAATTATTAAATGTTTGAAAAGTTTTGACACATAAAATCGGTAACCACTAAAGTCAGAGGCAGAAATTACTTATTTGACCGTTAATAATTCTCACAAGAATTGAAGGAGAACATTAAATCTACACGTGTCCCACACCTCAGAAATAAAAGAATTTTCAAAACATTCCTGTTTCTTTTAGTTGATCAATTGTAGCTGCATCAATTTACTAAAACAAAAATGCAAAAGAAAAATTCATAGTCTTCTAAGTAGCTAAGAATAGATGGAGTTGGTAAACTTGAAAGTAACACAGTGATGCTGTAAACAGAGAAAAGTATAGGAAAGTAAGATTGGGCAGCAAATCACCACATGATGATGTGCCTTAAAGAGATACTATAGTCACCAGAACACCAACCTAATGTAGTTGTTCTTGTGAGTAAAGTCAGGCATATTTTCAGAGAAAAGGCAGTGCTTACATTACTGCACAGGAACACTTCCAGTGGCTGTCACTCCAGTGAACACTTCCAGTGGCCAGTGAGGTGCTTCCTGGGTCAATGCTGCAAAATGTACAACACTGATATTCAGCGTCTCCACGCTCTGCATGAAGACACTGAACTTTCTCCATGCCGCGCATGCCTATGGGAAGGCATTGGATTGGTTGAGATCATCAATTTGGATGATCTAGGCCAGGCATAGGCAACCTTCGGCACTCCAGATGTTTTGGACTACTTTGCCAGCATTATGGGTGTAAGAGCATTATGGGAGATGTAGTCCAAAACATCTGGAGTGCCGAAGGTTGCCTCTCCCTGATCTAGGCCAAGGAGGCAGATCGGGGGCGAAACCAGCTTCAGCTCTGAAAAAGTTTTTACTTATTTAAGGGGGCAGGAGGACGCAACGTGGTTTGTTACACGTGTGTACTCGTGATCAATAGTGTTCCTTTAAGTTTCCCATTCCAGTCCCCAAAATATTGGCAATTCCTTTCAAGAAAAAAAAACATGGTACTATCTAAATATTGTTACTGTTTATAATTGTCTTAATTATTATGATTTTTGCAGACCTTTCTGTCATTGTTTTAAATGTTCTCATTGTTATTTTCTTTACATTAAATGCACACTATAGTTAAATAATTTTGCTTACTTACTTTTTTTTTTACAGAACCAAGAAGAGAGGGTTCTCTAACAACTATAAATTCCCAAAAAATCACTTTATTGCTGCAATCACCATCTGTGAAGTTTATAACAAACCCTGAGTTTTTCACTGTGCTGCATGCTAATTATGTAAGTGACAAGTTATATGTGAGAATTTAGAAATACACACTACTTCAAAGGAGATATACATGTGGTTTAATGTGCTGACAGTCTATTGAAATATGAAACAAGTAGACTCATTCTGTGGAGCAGCTGTAATCTAAATCAAAGCTCCAACCTTTTCATTGTACAAGTAACACATGGGGAATATGTCTGATTTAAGGATGGAAAATTATAATTTGTCACCCTGGTCTAATTATATATTTATAGACCTCTTGGGAGGTATGAACCAACCAGCCGTACGTAGTTGGAAAAAAAACATACCAAGAAACTGTGAAAAAAGTCTCAATTATTGTTCCTTTGATTCTTCTAATTTGCACCTTGACCTTAGCCACCAGTAATATTACTAATGATAGTTTTGGTGCGAAATCTAGTGAATTTAAGGAAAATATCACTTAAATGAAATAGTATGCAAAATGAATGTATTAAGGTTTATTTTTAGAATGAGTTCACCTGTCCTATATGGTAATCAAAGTCTGCTTTGTGACTTATATTAGCACAATTATTATATTGAATGCAAAAAAATTTAATAACTTTATGGGAAAGTTTTCAATTTATCAAGATACCAGTTGTTCTGTGATACTGTCAGCTTATATTGACGCTTTTTCTGGAAAAAGAATATGTTGGTTTCTGTAGTGGTTCTTTTTTCCCTGTTATAGTGTTTTACATCCCTGCTGGCCCCTCTGCCACCTCATCCAGTCCCAGCTTTATTTGGCAATGGCACCAGTGATTGGATGACAATCTCAGCCTTTCACTGGCCTCCCATTGAAAAAATGCGTTAGAAATGTACAAACATATGCACTGGGAGGCCAGTGATAGGAGGAGAATATCCCTATGGATGCTATAAATATGCTTCTATTAAAAATCATTAACTGGATGGTTCATTTAGGTCTGATAAAAACAAATTTGCAGAATAGAAGCTTTACTAAAATTAAACAGAATGCATCATCATTGTTGTATCTAAATTCATAAAGTCATGACTAGTAGAGACTGATGCTTAAACTGCACTTAAACTGTGCAGGTGTCCATACAAGCTTACCTCACTTCAACCAAATAAAGCACTAGTGTCATCATACCGTATCACTGTGTCCAACTTGGCATTTCAACTGCAGATATATATATATATATATTATTTTTGGAGAGTGTGCTAAATACACCTAACTTACTGAATGAGTGAATGAGTGAGTGAGTGCGCTGGATCTTGTATGTTGTATGAATTGGCCCCTGCAAAACCCTTATAACGTATGCATGTTCAGGTAAGTGCAGCCCTCTTGGTTTCATATGTCTATAAAATGTGGAAATGTATTGCAAGGAACAATAAAATGTCTCAAGCATAAGGAAAATATTAGTCATGTTTAAGTCAGCAAGTCATACATTAAGTGCTCCACCTCTATATTTTCACCTGGTTTCTATGCCTTGTGTAAGAGAATCCAACAAATATATGTCTGTCCAGAAATGTATAAATGCATTAAAATGTGTTGATGCATTCAAATATAATTAGCATTATAGCAATCACTGTGAACTATTTAAAAAAACTGATTTATAAT